ACGCTTTACAAACGTGAAATAGCCGAAAAGCTATTATCTTTAAAATATAATACCTTTTCAAAACAAAGTTCCATAAACTCGCCCTGTGACACTTGTACCTTTCCCGGTTATTGTAACCACAGAGGGCGATAACATTTCATTGTTTACTCAGAACGACAGACCCCTGTTGTAGTAGCTGCGCAACTGGAGGTAGGCAGTGGTGGGTAGCAAGCTGGGTACTGGAGTAGCCTTGTGTAGCGCCGCTTCTTGCAGTATTTCTGACGCGTCATGTGTGAGTGTGTTTAGTTTTACGCCGCTTTTGGCAATAGTCCAGCAATATCACGACGGGGGACATCAGAAATGGGCTACACATATTGTACCCATGTGGGGAATCGAACCTGGGTCTTAGGAGTGACGAGCGAACGCTTTAACCACTAGGCTACCCCACCGCCCCGCGACATGAAAGCTTGCTGATAGGAATGTGTCAGGTTTGTAATCACTGGTGCTATCTGTGAACAGGATGACCAAGAAACGTAGATGCCTAGCCGATCCATTTCGAATAAGGGGAACAACTGCGCACGGCACTCTGCAGCTTGGGGGCCTTCTAACAACGTTCTTTGACTATGCAGAGTGTGTATGAAAACAGTTTGTTACAATGGTAAGTTGGGGTCCGTTAAGTTTCTGTACTAATCTCTGCTCGACGCTTTATATTTGTAACATATGAATTATCGCAGTTTCAAATCGAGGCATATTCAACAATATATATGACTAAAGTGAGTTGGGTCACTCCGCTATTCACAATATTTATCACTGTGCCAGCATCATGTGCTAGTCAAGCCCGAAGCTCGTGGCTGTACTGAGGTCCATCATAACAACAGCCAATCTGCTGTCATTTCATATGTCTTATGCACCGTGAAGATTTAGATATACTACTTTAGTTGCACTAATGTAATATACAAACATATGTAAACTCCCTGTTGAAATCCATAGTACGTACGATATACGCATTTTCTATGAAAAAGGACGTGCTTTCTATACTTCTATACGTAAGTGTGTTTTGTTATCGTGTTCTCAATGTCGTGTTTATTGTCATTACATGATATACCTGATCTCAAAACACACAAATGTGACAATGTCTTTGTCATATCATGCCGTTCTGAAATTCCGTTTCTCAAACAACGGAACATAAATAGTGCAGTTGTTTCTTAAGGTACTATATAACATGCTCAGTCAACGAAATATATAATGTGGATTATCGAAATTGTGTTTTTAAAGCTGCATGGCAAGTGTATGTCTGTACTCTATAACATACAATCAATAAAAAATCTTTTCAAATGATTCGTTACATTACAGTTGATAACAGTTATAATTAGGTTTGAAAACTTTCAGTGCAACCTCTCCCTTCGCCACCCTCTAAAACACAATGATAAACTAATAAGTACCATAACATCTGAGAAATACCTTCCTCAACCCACATTGTATTCCAGTGGTGATCGACTGCCACAGAAAACGTCATTCAACAGGATTTATATCAGTTTCACACGATACCTGTCTGTCGCGGATATAACGTGGTGGTTTTCCTAGAGCGCTCGCTCAGACCAGCGTCATACACGGTGTCACGTGAATACTATGAATTCGGCAGATAACGGAACACTGTGATATAGCTTATAACTCAAATACGTTTGCGGAAAATCCCGATATCATCGTGAAGTGAGGCAGTTATTACAAATTATAGCTTGTGAAATAGCGTGTGAAATAAGCATACACCACCAATAAGGAAACGGATATAGCTTAAATTATCAATAATGATTTACCCTGAGCATTAGAACACTTGGCCCATTGTTTTCATTGTTTGCTTAAATGCTGGTCATATAACGTAATGTTGACAATAATTGAAGATGGTGTCAATTTATCATGACATCGTGGCTGTTTAATGTGATGACGTTCAAACAACAGGTTACTTTGTAGGGGTGCCATGCATGAGATCAGGAACCATTTTGTTCTACAATTTCTCGAGAAAAAGACGATGATTAATCCGACAAATAACGTATTTTAAGGGTCGGAGTGAGTGAGTTTGGTTTTAAGCCGCTTTTAGCAATATTCCAGCAAATCACGGTGGGGGACATAAAAAATGGGCTTCACACAATGTGCCCATGTGGGAATCGAACCCGGGTCTTCAGCGTGACGAGCGAACGCCTTAACCACTAGGCTACCCCACCGTCCTCTAAGGCTTGAAAGGTACACAATTAATTCATCCGGGACAAATAATCTCGGTAATTCCGGTAGGCTTATTTGGGAATAAGCAACGAGCTATGAGTAATTTACGGATAATCTGTTCTGTGGGGATGAGTGCTACTAATCCCGACAATACGGCTAACTCCAAGCAAAGTTGTGCCTGTACAATACTGTCGTGTATGGTAGGCACATACACACGCTTACAAAGGAGTATCATGGCGACCAAGTCAGCTGGTTTTTTATGCAGAGCCTTTTCTTAGAAATATAGCATTGAAACTGAAGGTAGCATAAACACTATCTTCAGGGCGTTCTCAGAAAAGTAACTGACCTCTAACCGCAGGGGTGATAACACGTGATATATTGTTAGAGGTGTGAAGAGTGGCGAGGTCTCCGTTATCTTAGCCGCTCAAATAAGCTAATTATCTCAGTCTTGTAACTTTTATCGCTTCGTATCAAATGATTATATTCTAACATGCGTTGATACATGTAGTTTGTGGTCACATTGTATCGTCATTCATTGGTGAATACGGACAAGCACTGGTTAATATTCTCTTTCCCGTTGCGTCATTCAAGTCCACACACAATCACTTCAGATCGTTAATTTTCTGTAACATTGACGTTTCACTCCAACACATAGGACGCCCCACCCCTCCGGTTGTGTACCCTCCCAGGGATTCCCTCACTTCCTTGTACATAGACAACTCAGCGGAGCGGTGTGATTGGCCAGAACCAGTCCACTCAGCACTCAGCACTCAGCCCGACTTACACCGCCTGCCCGTAATAAACTTTAGTATATACCTGTTCATGTATACATAAAATACCTGTAATCCTTGTCGGTGCTGTACACATATTTACAGTTTTTACATGTATGTATGAATGTATGTGTGTGTGTGTTTGTGCGTGTGTGTTTCTCAGCCCTGTAAGTATAGTATTATTCACATATCACAAGCCAACGAAATGCACATTCGTGAAATCATCTCAATCGTGTAAAATCCGTTTGTTTCTTCGCAGTCAAATTTGTTACTTAAAATAATTATGTATGAATTTTGTGAAATACGGTTTTTCTGCCATACACGTGTGTTGTGATTCGTGTATTCACATTTGCCGATAGCAACTGAATCAGACGGAGTCGTTGTTCGTCATATCCTCCATCTCATACTATCCATCTTTAAGGATGCTCTCCAATGCCGGATACGCTGGGGTTCGTGCAGGCGTACTCAAGCTTCTATGTAATTCCATATATAAGCCTGCACCTTTTCCCGGATGGGTTAGTAAGAATACCTAACCTTGAGCTAAAGGCTTAAAGGGTTTCATATCCTGTTATACAAGAAATAGCGAATCGAGGAACCGTCTAGTTAGTGAGCATACGTTTACGCCGCTTTTCGCAATATTACATCAATACTACGGCGGGGATACCAGAATTACGCTTCAAAGTGACACACTGTACCCATGAGGGGAATCGAACCCGGGTTATCAGCCTGATGAGCGAACGCTTTAACCACTAGGCTACCCCACCGCCCCTAGAATCCGTTTAGGTGATAGTCTCCACCATGACCCCTGGAAATGCACTACACTGTTTGTCGTTTTGCGCCGCACAATATTTCAGCTCCATGTCAATAGCTGAGTCCGGAACAGACAATCCAGTGACTGACAGTATGGTCATCGAGTTACGTAATTGAGAGACGGTAACATGAATCAACCAAATCAACAAGTCGGACCACCCTCCCTTCTTGGCAAGCATGGGTTGCTGCAAGCCCATTATAACCCGGATCTCCACGGGTTTAGACACTAAACTGTCATAAGCTCATATCTATTCGCAAAGTCAGTCATGAATTGTAATTGATAATATGTTAAAAAGCTGACAATTACTCGACGTAATAGTATAAAAAGAAAAATGATTAAGCTTTTATGATTTAATTTTTCTTTGTAGTGACCATCACAGTTTACCTGAAAGATTAAATAATCGCATAGCCTACATAAGACCGTTGGCAATCATTATTTAGTGTCTATTCACAACAGATACACGCATTGTATAAAGTATAACATTGTGCACAGTCGTACGACGTGTCACTTGTAAACTATATTGTAAAGAACTTACCCGACCCTAATCAAAACTTTATTTCTTTAATTACAACCCGATTTTATTGGCTGTGTGTGGCTTTGCCTCGGATTGTGTTCGCACGATAGTAAAGAGTATATTTGTTACAAATCGCGAATGTAGGTGACAAGTTTTCAGACTGGACACCCCGGCTCTGTTGTGATAGCAACAAGGATAATAATACACCCCACCATGTGTCCACCCTGAATTGATGGTGCTCACACTGTCATAGCAACAGGGACACTAGGATGTTTCGGATGTATATATAATTAGTTGTGACGCACATGCAACATTCGCCGTAGTACACCCAGGACGATACCATAAAAGGCAGGCCATACCCAGCCGCGGATCGATTGACGTAACGTGGCCATTTAAAGGGACTGTCATATTGGTATCAGCTCTTATAAAAGTGACTACGAGGTAACCACTAACGGTTAACACTTGTAAATCTAATTTCACCCTGTGCCCTACCTTATCCACATTTACTAGTATTTTTGTATGCTCTACTCGGTACCATGAAACTAGATTATATATTAGTACGTTAATAGGTCTGTACACTGTACAGTATATATACAGTTTTCAGTACTGTGTATGGTCATCGCTATGTTAATCACCTCGCTGACGGAAGGACGAACACGAATCCACGCCGTACCATAGCGGAATTGAAATAATAAGATAATGAAGTGACATGTTTCTTGTTTTTAATTTCAAGTGATTCACATCTCCATACATTCATAAACATCAAAACACCACCAAAACACTCATCCACCTAGCAACGACCACAACAAGCATTTTCAATCTCGCGTCTGACCACATCGACTATTTGTGACAACGACGGCAAAGAGCATTTTCATTCTCGCGTCTCATTATACATGCACTGACAGTTACACACGAAGTAAATATGTACAATGTGGTTCAATAGCATTTACAACATTCCCGATACAATATAAATTAAAATGAAATGGCAAGTTTACAATGGAGTGCTTTAAGGTGGCTTTAAGGGGCACCCGTGTACTATCATGGTCGATTGTCTGCTTATTTTGATTGAATCTAGCAATGAGGTTGACCAGTGTTCGTGTATTGATGGGTGATGAGGACAGACGTACGCACGTATATTACCTCAGGGGGTTGTCATGGACTACGTATCCACATCAGTGAAAAACACATGGTCTCTCGTTAGATAGGAGTCTGAACACCTGGTGTTTGTAGACACGTACTGTACCACATAGTATCCCCTCTGTACAGAAACATATCCCATCTCGTTAGTACGTTAATACGTCCGTACACTACTCCAATGGTTGTCCGTACACTGTACCCTCGTGGTTGTCTGTACATCGTACCGTCTGCTTATCTCTACACATATTCCATGCGTCTCTCTGCATTTACATCGTGTGACATAATTACGTGTATTCTGGGAAGAGTTCCTGGATCTGACTGTTTTCGAAGAATCATAGTCCACCGCCGATTGCTCCTATTGACTCGCACCTTATCATCAGGAGTCTTTAACAACAACATAATGATCACAATAACTAGAAGTCTGAAGTCCTTACGTCTTTCATATAGTGTAAGGGTAATCCTCCAGGAAGGTTTTCATAGTCTTGGGCAAAGGAAGTCTTCGAGTCGATCTTTCTGGGAAGTGTAAATCTGTCATCGAGGAGTTCACTTGAAGTCTACATAGATGCTGCAGAGAGGGGACCTGGTTCCGTCTCGGTTGTGTGAGGTACACTGGCATGTCTCTGCTTCCTGATTTCTCCAACCATCGACAATCCTTGAACACCTCACTTTTACTCAGAGCTATATGGAAATTTACAAGTCCCACCACACTTTCACACTTTGGTAATTTGTTCTTTAAATGGTCCTCGCAGTCCAGCTGAAATAAACCACGAGAATACCGAATTCTCACACTCGTCGGTCCTCTCTCTGTTTTCACACTCAGAGCAAATAAATATTTTGAATCAGAGCTGTTCCTGATAATAAACGTACCTCTAGGTTGGTGCTTGAGGACAGTCTTTGCCTCCGCACTGGAACAATCGCCATAATACCAGCAGCTGTCTTTTGCATCGCACAAACTCTTTAAGACGATGTTGAAGTCTGTTTCAGATGTCACTTTTTGATAAACATAATCCTTATTTTCTTTCGATACATCAGTTGCTCTCTTCTGTGGCTCTCGTGTTGGACTCGCCAGAGTTCTGCGTGAAGATTTCGTTATGTCATGGATGTGAACATCAACACAACTGCCCCACTCGGTTAAGTCCGCGCGGCCCAAGTCTCTGTCGAGGGTGTTACACATTGCCTTGTGAACTGGGTCGCAGCTTGAAGGGGGCATTCCGATACACAATGTACTGCTCGACTACCCGTCTTGATCGACTTCAGAGATGAGAACTCAGTCAGAGTTAAATTCATACTGACCGTTTCCATCGCTGTGGACGCTCTATCAATAACACCGCTCACCAGTGAAACTACCTAGAGACATTTCGAGGAAATCCTTTAGCAGTTATTGGGAAATCCCGATTTCGCAGAAAGGCCGCTACTGCGCATGTGCGCTCACCGCAATATGGCAAGTGGGTTTCATGCTAAATCTCCGACACGTTTTGATAGCTTCCCGAAAGCAAAAGAAAAAGATGTGGTCGCTCAGTCTAAAATGAATGGGCTTCGATATCGGAGAAATGTTTTTAGACCTGCCAAGGATTAATAATTCTGTAGATTTGTTGCTGTGCCTTTGACGTGTGAGAAAAGTGCGCTGAGCTAAAAATAGTCTCGGCACTGCCTCGCCTATCGACTCAACGTCGCAGTCAGTAACGATAGATCTACACTCGAATTTATGTCTGTTTTATTTTGTTTTTAGGGCTATTCCTGTATTGTTTGTATGACTGTTTTGTGAGTACTATGCGATACCACGTTGTATAAAAGTTGTGGCCACGTATGTCGATCCTGATATGGGAGAGGTGCCGCAATAAGGTGTATGTCATTGCAACATGTATCCACTCACACACGTTAGGCATTGTAATTGTCGTATCCGTCTGATTTTAAGGTGTGCCGTATTCATTGAAACTAAATTGACTGGCAATAAGATGCCCTTCCCTGCCGATCCGTGAATATTATCATTAAACTTCCGCCAATTTTGTTTAACATACTTTAATAAAAAATCCAACTTGAGTCGGTAGCTGAGAAGTGCTTTTGCGTCGCCTACCACCTGTCGTATCAGATTAGATGAAGGCGTATGTATGCAGGGCAAAGGGTGATTTCCAAGAAATAGGCAACCGTTCAAAATTAATAACAGCTAGGCGATTCTTAGCGACGATAACAGCAGTGCGCAAATACAGTCAGAATCTGCTACACTGCGTCCCATATTTAAATTCGTAGTATTAATAAAGTTTTTTTATTTTTAAATTTCTGTATATGTTTGGTTGTCATTTTATTCATTTTTTAATTGATTCTTGTTCTTTTGTTTGTTGACATACTGCTGCTGTATGACAGCTGTCTATGTGTACATACAGTACAGTTCTTCCAAATCGTTGTTTCTCTTCTCCCGTGACTTCTTCGAGTTCAATACAAAACATCCAAAAGCACTGGTATGACGTTCTATATTTACTATATACCCTCTTATCTTGCATTAATCTGTTACTTAATAGAACAAATCGGCTGGGGTTCAATACGGAATGTGGGGTTCAATACGGAATTTGACCACGTCATCCGTATTGCACCCCTGTATTTCTATCCTAAGTTTACATGGATATATAATAAATATCTGTGTCTGGACTAGACATACTCAGTGATTGACATTAAGAGCATCACAGTTGAGATACATTGACACGTATCAACCAGGTGAGCAAGCCTTATCTCTTGCCCCGTTAGTCGCTTCTTGACGACAGGCATGGGGAAAAACAATGCTAATCCGGATCTTTACAGGTCTTATGATTGATTCGTATTTAAGAACTGTTTGACGAACTAGGTGTTCCTGTTTTATTCTACTGTGGTACCATGCATGCCGCAATAATGTGTGATTGTGTTACCACGCATGCCGCAATAATTTGATTGTGTTATGGATGCCGCAATGATGTGTGATTGTGTTACTATGCATGCCGTAATGATGTGTGATTTAGTTACTGTGCATGCCGCAATGATGTGTGATTGTGTTACTGTGCATGCCGCAGTGATGTGTGATTTAGTTACTATGCATGCCGCAATGATGTGTGATTGTGTTACTATGCATGCCGCAATAATTTGATTGTGTTACCATGCATGCCTCTATGATGTGTGATTGTGTTACCATGCATGCCGCAATAATTTGAGTGTTACCATGCATGCCGCAATGATGTGTGATTTAGTTACCATGCATGCCGCAATTACCATGCATGCCGCAATGTGATTGTGTTACCATGCATGCCGCAATAATGTTGATTGTGTTACCATGCATGCCGCAATGATGTGTGATTGTGTTACTATGCATGCCGCAATTTGATGTGTGATTGCATGCCTCTATGATGTGTGATGCATGCCGCAATAATTTGATTGTGTTACCATGCATGCCGCAATGATGTGTGATTGTGTTACTATGCATGCCGCAATGCATGTGTGATAATTGTGATTAGTTACTATGCATGCCAATGATGTGTGATGTGTGATTGTGTTACTATTGTGCATGCCGCAATGATGTGTGATTGTGTTACCATGCATGCCGCAATAATTTGATTGTGTTACCATGCATGCCGCAATAATGTGTGATTTAGTTACTATGCATGCCGCAATGATGTGTGATTGTGTTACTATGCATGCCGTAATAATGAGTGATTGTGTTACTATGCATGCCGCAATGATGTGTGATTGTGTTACCATGCATGCCGTGTTACAATAATTTGATTTGATTGTGTTATGCATGCCGCAATGATGTGATGCCGTTACTATGATGTGTGATGTGATTGTGTTACTATGCATGCCGCAATGATGTGTGATTGTGTTACTATGCATGCCGCAAATAATTTGAGTGTTACTATGCATGCCGCATGATGTGTGATGATGTGTGTGATTTGTGTTACCTATGCATGCCGCAATGATGTGTGATTGTGTTATGCCGCAATGATGTGTGATTGTGTTACTATGCATGCTGCAATGATGTGTGATTGTGTTACTATGCATGCCGCAATGATGTGTGATTGTGTTACTATGCATGCCGCAATGATGTGTGATTGTGTTACTATACATGCCGCAATGATGTGTGATTGTGTTACTATACATGCCGCAATGATGTGTGATTGTGTTACTATACATGCCGCAATGATGTTGATTGTGTTACTGTGTATGCATGCCGCAATGATGTGTGATTGTGTTACTATGATGTGTGATGCCGTAATGATGTGTGATTGTGTTACTATACATGCCGCAATGATGTGTGATTGTGTTACTATACATGCCGCAATGATGTGTGATTGTGTTACTATACATGCTGCAATGATGTGTGATTGTGTTACTATACATGCTGTAATGATGTGTGATTGTGTTACTATACATATGAAATGATGTGTGATGCCACAATGATGTGTGACTGATGTGTGATTGTGTTACTATACATGCTGCAATGATGTGTGATTGTGTTACTATACATGCTGCAATGATGTGTGATTGTGTTACTATACATGCTGAATGATGTGTGATGTGTGATTGTGTTACTGATACATGCTGCAATGATGTGTGATTGTGTTACTATACATGCTGCAAATGATGTGTGATTGTGTTACCATACATGCTGCAATGATGTGTGATTGTGTTACTATACATGCTGAAATGATGTGTGATTGTGTTACTATACATGCCGCAATGATGTGTGATTGTGTTACTATACATGCTGAAATGATGTGTGATTGTGTTACTATACATGCCGCAATGATGTGTGATTGTGTTACTATACATGCTGCAATGATGTGTGATTGTGTTACTATACATGCTGCAATGATGTGTGATTGTGTTACTATACATGCTGAAATGATGTGTGATTGTGTTACTATACATGCTGCAATGATGTGTGATTGTGTTACTATACATGCTGCAATGATGTGTGTTTGTGTTACTAAACATGCTGCAATGATGTGTGATTGTGATACCATGCATGCCGCAGTGATGTGTGATTGTGTAACTATACATGCCGTAATGATGTGATTGTGTTACTGTACATGCTTCAATGATGTGTGATTGTGTAACTATGCATGCTGCAGTGATGTGTGATTGTCTTACTATACATGCCGCAATGATGTGTGATTGTGTTACTATACATGCTGCAATGATGTGTGATTGTGTTACTATACATGCTGGAATGATGTGTGATTGTGTTACTATACATGCCGCAATGATGTTTGATTGTGTAACTATGCATGCCATAATGATGTGTGATTGTGTTACTATGCATGCCTTAATATTTGAACAGGTCTGTGGTTCATGCCGAAATAGTCAGGAAATGTCGCGGTGATTAATTTAACAAAGATATCTGCAGGAGTGCTTCCACTTCAAAGGTAAAAACAAGATTTTCAGGGGATGATTAATTTGACTAACATGAATGACAGAAATAGCAAAGTACGCTTTTTTCTGGAAAGATCCAGTTTTCTAGCGAAAAAGTCGTCATTGAGTTTGGATCGTGTGGTCATCGTGACACTCGACTGCTAAAGGCTATATTTAGCAGCATGCGCAGCTAACCTCCATCGCCAACGCAAACTGAAAGAAGTTGTAATCTGGTATTTCTTACGTTTTGACCAAGTTCACAGCTAAATATGACCGCATGCTATCGATTTCTACCCCGACTGTACCCAAGTGATCTATACACATGCTTGCAGCAATAATTGAAGCACTTGTATTTACATGCATTCTTACTTGCCGAAGTGTGAACCTCTTATAGATCTGCGTGTCTCAATCTACCATCAGACAAACTTCGTCTCTGAAAAATATATCATGTGATAGTAACAAACAGACATATTTAAATTGAAAAGGAGCTCCAGTGAGATGGGAGATTCAGAATCTGAACCTGAGAAAATCTAGACTTGCTTCATTTAGGGCTTTAGCACTGCAGGGAGGGCTGGGCAGTAGGGAAAATAATGTAGTTCAGGGACTGTGAGACACACTAACCTATCTAACTAACTCTGTTTGTGGCATATCCGCTGCATGGCCAGTCATGTATTAATTTATCTCTACCATAGATTATAGCTGGACTAGATTACAAATACCACGTGAGGTAAATGCCAGGAAAAACTAGCTCAAACTGTTTTCCTTTTTAATTAAGAAGAGTGAGTGAGTGAGTATTATTATTCTTTTCAGCAATACCTCAGCGATATGACGGCGAGGCACATCAGAAATAGACATCACACATGGTACTCATGTGGACTATTCATTTCAAGAGAGAGTATAAAAAACACAATCTTGCTCAAACATGTACCAGTGGGCAAAGCTGACACAGATAGCGTTTACACAGGGCGGGCGGCGTCGACTACAGAGAAATGTGCCTTGTAGAAGGAT